TTTGTGGTTTCTGTGCTGGGTTTATGCGCTATGTTACTAACCTCACTGAATTAGCAAGAAGAAACCTTTCCAGCATATGTTGCAAAGACGCTAGAAAAGGAATAAGAGTGTTTTTTATTTAGCTAGCACTTGGCACCCACTTTAAAATATTTTTATGTGTGTCTATAACATACACAGACATATATAAACACAGATGTACGCAGGTCTCTTTATACATATGAACGTACCCTCACGCACACAGCCCCCTCAACACATAGCTGCAATGCCAGTACGCACCTGTATGTACACATCCTGCACATTGAGAGGAGATGGCTGTGTGTGTGTGGAGGCAGACCATAGCAAAATTACCCAGAGTATTACAAGAATGTATGTTTTCGTTAAAGAACCCACAACGGAGTGAACGCGGAGCCTTTCAGCACCACCAGCTGATTGCTGCGCTGTCAGATATTACTGACGCTAGCAAATATTGCTGATGCTATCAAATACTGCTGGTGCCGCCGAATATCGCAGCCCTTTGGCTTGGCTGATGAACTTTGCACATCTGCAAAAGCTGGTCTGAGCTGGTCCTTGACTTCGTTAGCGAGAGGAGCTGCAGGACCAGGGCGGGTGGCGGCATCCCTTGCCAAAGTCTGAATCAGCTGAGAAGGTGATTAATGCTGATTAATGCCGTTACCTGCCAGAGCAACCCCTGCTGGGTCTGGCAGCAAGGTTGCGAGGAGTCATTGGATGATGCTCGCAGCCAGCCAGGGCACAAAATGTACTTTCTCCAGAGGAAGAGGAAAAAATAAGATGAGCGTAAGACCACTAATCTTTGCACTGGTCTCCTCCATTGAAGTAAAACTTTAACTGAAGGAGAAAAGTTCATGGCATTAATGCAGGCATTGATTTCAGGCACAGCGCCTGCATTCCCCTCGGGCTGGCGTGGCTGCGAGGGGAGGGCCCTGAGGCTGAGCTTTTTGAAGTTTTTCCCCCAATATTTGCCCTTCCAGCTGAGATCTTTGCCCACAGCATTTGTTTGCTCACTGTGTGTGGATACCCAGGCATTTACAAACGCCGTGTCTTTGCACTGCAGTTAAATGCCTTCGTGTGGGGGCTCGGCAGGATTGGGCCATTAACAGGCTGCTCATGTCTGAATTGGAAAACAAACGAGAGCCCTGACCTGACATCCCAAACCAAAACCCTTGGGCACTGTGAACCTCCTGTCCAGGACCGACCTCCCTCTGCACCACCCCCTCCATGATCCCCATCCCATTTTGGGTGCACGGTGGAGGGAGAATGGTGCCTTTCCCCTCCACTTCCATGGAAACTTTGGATGCCAAGGGCTGCAAAGCTCCATGGCCACCAGCCTCCCTTGGCCAGGTCTGCTGACAGAAGGTGTGAAGTTATCCCAGCCCTTCCCAGCCCCTGTTGCCCTCCCTGCAAGGCTGCGTGCTGTGACCTGGTACCCAGAGCTGCCTCCCCTCTTGGGTACAGCCCCAGCTGATGCTGGCCGGGCTGCAATATGGATATGCTCCTCCGGAGCCATGCCCAAGGCAGTTTGTGCACATATTTAGCTCTCAGGAGAGCCTCACTAGGCAGCAGTTAAGTGATTTGACTAAGGGCATGGAAATCAATAAGGTAAAGGGAAGATGGCAGCTGGTACACGGGCATCTTCCCTGGGGCGCCAGCCCTGCCTTCCTCATCCTTGCTGCTGAGACCCTGGCTTTGCCAGCTTGGACCTTGTTTGTGCTTTCTCTTGTCCCTGTTCAGATGATGTGGGAATATCTCTGAGGGTGACAGGAGCACGTACACTTCATGGGCTGCATCCCACTTCCAGCAGCCCGGACGCAGCTCCTGTGCCGGTGGATGCTGCCCAAGCCTCAGCTGCACAGCCATGCAAGCTGCTGATGGGGCTTTTCACCAGGATCCTACTAATGCTGGGAAAAAAGCAGTGCACAACACTGCAGGAGGCCTCAGAATAAAGAAGGCAAACAGAGCAGCACAGCCCTATGGATTCATCTGAGTTAACCAGGGAACGTGGTGTGGTGCTGAGGTGATCCATGCAGATGGCAGATGTGGGTCTCCACACGCGTGGCTGAGCACTGCCGTGGGTCTGGGTGACCCCAGCCCAAGGACATCGCTGCCATTCCCAGATAAAACACCAATTTCACTGTTTTCAGGACAGCAGCACATGCTGCCCGCCCCTTAGCACTTTTGCCAGTGCTGTAGGGTTTTGTGGCCTTTCTCCAGGGGTCCCAGCAAGAAGCTGCTCCAAGTGGCTCTTACATCTTCACATTGCCTGTGTGTGCAAATACATGCATGCCAGGAATCCCAAATCTCAGGACTGCACCCAGTAGTACGAATCCTGACGTTTCACAATGGGCATCAATTATATTATTTGCAAACAACAGCACTTGCATTATTGATGAATGAAATGTAAGAACTATGGGTAATATTACTGCTATGCAGTATTGCCGTGCTCATTGCCTACTGTAATTGTTGTTGCTGCTAAATTTAATGCTATGTGGTAAAAGGAATGGGTTAAAGTTTATGGTTGGGCTTTGCTTTTGAAGGACTGAACATGCTGTCACCTCAGTGAAAGGAATTTAAGGACTCCGTAAGGACCGAGGTGTTCTCTGTAGCGGGGGTAATTTCCACTCCCCTTTTACTGCCTTTGGGTCATCTAGAGGCAGCTTTGATGTTAAAAAAACCAAAACAAAACGAGAAAAAAACAGAAAAAACAGAAAACATAAACTGAAACAAAAACAAGAAGGAAAAAAAAGGAAGGTCCAGACAATAAGGTTGTGGCTCTCCAGGTAAGAGCAGGCTGATGCAGCACATCAGAGGCTGGCACAAAAGGCACACGACACATGTTCATTTTTCTCTCTATATGCACAGCAGCTGGGGCCACCCATGGGACAGGGGCTTCAGTCTGACAAAACACATTTGAGAGGGAGAATTCAGTGCATTTACAGCACAGTTGTAAAGATATCAGTGTGTTGGCCTTGTACCCTTCCGGCAAAAACCAGTGGCAATAAACCAGGGGAGTTTAATGGGGCCCTCCCACCCCACCCCCCCACCCAAGCTCTGGGTGGTGCAGCATCTCCCAAAAGAGAAAAACTGGGAAGCAAACCCAGCAAACCTGTTCTGCAGAGCGTGGGGTATCCCAGGCACAGGCATGGTGTGGAGGCCCACCCCACACCTTCAGGAAGGCAGAGTTACAGCCAGCCCATGTGGTGCTCGGGTTGGCCCCAATTCCGTAGCCCCACTGCACAAAGCCTTGTAGGAGCAGCGTGGACCAGTGCGGGCTCAGGTCAGGACAAAGAATTGCAGCTCAACAACTTCAACTGCTGCCAGCAACCAGCCCAGCTCCGGGGCCACCTCAAGCATCCCCTTCTGTCCCAAAATATATAATAAAATCAACTCCCAAACCATCTCACTATGAGAAAAATGCCTTTTGATCATCATTCTGAAACAGATTTGAAAACACATTCAATTCCCATGAGGCTGCTATGGCCTTACCTCCCAGCATCCTTTACCTCAGGAGTGGTACCCAGAGCATCCTTTACCTCAGGAGTGGTACCCAGAGCATCCCTTACCTCGGGAGTGGTACCCAGAGCATCCCTTACCTCGGGAGTGGTACCCAGAGCATCCTTTACCTCGGGAGTGGTACCCAGCATCTCCCCGCTGTCCGCAGCGTGTGAGGGTGACCCTGTAGCCTCGCACCAGCTCTGGGGCTTTGCTTTCCTCTACCACTGAGGGTAAAATTTGTCCCTGGAGTATACACAATATTTCACAGCAGCTCCATAAATAATTGAATCTGCAGCGGGCTCAAGTGACTCCTGCATGCACAGGTGTTGGTTATTCCTCTTTTTCCTCCTGCAGCACTGCTCAACTGAACAAATAAAGTTTCCTTTCCCAGGTAAAAACTCCCAGAAATGGTTTTAAAAGGAGCCCCAGGTTTATCTCCTTAAGCACTAAAATTAAGTAATTTCTGATAGCATTGATCAGCCACAAGTGTATTTTACTTACAAGAAAAGATAAGCAAATCAAAGCTAGGAATATTTGGAGGGGAAAGCACGTCTGTATAATAATAATGGGTTGATTTTGTGGAAAAGTAGAGGTTTTTCAGGTGGTGATGGTCCATTGAGACATCCCTCAGCCACTGCTCGCCGCTGGGCAGCATCGCAGAGGACGTGCTCCATCCCCCTGCACTCATCCTGCCCAAAACACCACTTTCCTGAGACCCTCCAGGCAAAGGCATCGCGACTCAGAGCCCCAAAAAGCCACTCTACCTCTGCTACCTGCTAACAGTTCACACCCCAGGTTTTATCTACAGAAACATAAAAGGCATGGCTTGATGTTGTAGTTAGGTGTTTTATTGGCACCAGGAATGCGCTGTTTGGTATGTCCACGTACACACTCTGTAGATGAGACTGAGTCAATATTGGCTTCTTCTCCTTTTTGTTTCAAATGACTCCATGGTTTTTAAAAAATACATTCACAAACTACCTCATGTTCAAACACGATTCCCTTCTATTTCATCACTGTACCCAAAAAACCCACAATAAAAAAAATATCCAAAGCTGTGTATTTGTCACTTCAAGGGGGACAGAAAAAAAAAAGAAGCTATCAGTTTTCAACATAAAAAGCTCTGGGCTTTATTTCATTTACATTTTAACCATGGTGAACACAGAAAGAGCTGGTGGCAATCAGTGCCCATGATGGGACTTGTATGGGGTTTTAATTCTAGTATTGGGGTCTTATATCCACCCCTACATTTTGGAGGGCACTCAGCCAGGTGTGGGCAGGGTGCCTGGGGCCCGGTGGGTGCAAAGGCGCCCAAAAAGCACCTCTTGCCCATACACCCCGGATGCTGCATCCCACTGCTGGCAATCCCTGCCAGTACTGAACCGTGCCGCCCTGCCCCTGCCCCTGCCCGTGGGATGTGACCCGTCCCGTCCCCACCACCCCAAATCGCCTCTTACCCTCGATAAAGATTCAAGTTTGACCAAGTCCTGTTGATTTAATCATTTTTTAATAAAGCCATCGTTACTGAGTACACCAAGATTGCCAGTTAAGCTCTCTATATGTCGCTGGAGGTAACAGCGCTGTGATCGACAGCGGAACGGAAGAAGAAAATAATAAAATAAACCAAACCAAAAAACGAACCCCAACTGAAACGAGGTAGGTTAAAACCAGCAACACAGACCTTGTTATGCGACACCCCAACACCACAGGCGGCCATGCTTGCAGCTACTGAGAAAGAAAACCCCAGATACGCACCGAAAATGGAAATCAACTGAGCAGAGTTTATAAGGACACGATTCAACCTGAACTAAACACACACACACGGTTCGGCACAGATGTTGTCTTTCACTGTATGTTGGGTAATTCCTAGGGAGTGGAGGGGGTGGAAAACGAGTAAAGATTCAGACCCTCGGCCAAAGAAACCACACTTACATATATTTTCTAAGCTCTTTACAAGCCCAATCCAGCAACACGGGGTCGGGCAGTTCGTTTTGTGGCAGCCCATCCCCGCGCCGGCTGCCTCCACACACCAGCGCCCGGCTCCAGGCTCAGGAGGACAAGCACCTGCAGCTTGTGCCGGCTTTGGCATTGAGGTCCAGTGCCCGCGGCACCCCGGGAGCCGTCTGCGGCCCAAAATCCCGCCTCGGGGGCGAGTGTGGGGTTCCTCTGACCGCTCCGCCATGCTCACCTCCTCCATCCCCCCGTCCTGGCACCTGTGAGCAAGCCCCGGGGCAGGCGGGCACCTCCAGAGCAACAACAAATGGCACCTCTGTCCCTACCAAGACACACCATTATGTGAAGATCCATATAGAAATATGGATTGACAGACTTGACAAAAATGGTAGCTGATTTTTATTAGTCTAAGGCTAGTAGTTTAGCCATTTAAAATCCATTTCCCAAAAGAGGGGAAAAAAACCTATTATTTTTTCTCTTCTTTAAAAATCCGTTAAGCCGTTGCTGCCAAAAGCAACATGTAAATGTTGGTGAAGGCAAAAGATTTCTAAAATTACCCAGCTATACGGTTATGGCCTTCATCACAAAGATAAAAGGTACATTTATTGTGCTGTCTCTCACCAGATTTAATTGGTAACTTTACAACATACTATATATTTGATGCTAGCAGGCAGACAGAATTAAAAACAGACTTTTTGACACTTTTTTCCCCCATTCTTACAAAGTAGGGGACAAAGGAAAAGTAAAATTAAAAAAAAAAAAAGAAAAGGAAAACTCATAACCCACTATAACACAGCGTAATCAGGAGACCTCGGGGGTCCAAGCGCGAAAGTCCGTCCCTGCCCACAGCCCCCACCCCGGGGCTGATGGCACCGGGGGAGTGTGGGGAGCGGTGATCCTCGGGGCCCTCCGCACCTGCCTCTACAGTGTTAGTCCACGTGTTTAATGTCCTTTAAATTAGAAATAATGCCATGGCGGTGAGTGCCAAGTGCTTCTCTGTTACCAGTTCATCATGGAGTTTCTGTTGAGGGTCATGAAAAACACCTGGCTGCTTCCTCCGGATCTCACCGATGCAAAAAATACCTGTTTGGAGGCAAAAGAACCTTATTAATAGCTCTTATTATTATGTTAATAATAATAATCTATTATTTTAACAATCTGTTAATTGTCTTGGTGATTTAGGCAAGCAGGAGCCGCCCATGCCCTGTGGTTTCCTGTGCCTAAACCTCCCTCCATGCTCCTTTCCTCCGTCTGACAGCAGAGATTTTACGCATCCCCATTGCCTGGTTCTGTTTTCTGCCGGAGCTCACCCATGCGAGACTCAGATCAAACCAAAGCACTTATTAGTAAACGTGGTAATAAAACCTCTCTTGCTATCACTACCAGAGAGAGCAAGGTTTGGAACGCCTTGAAAATACCAAGTTCATCACATTTTACTGCCACGGCACCATTTATTATGCACTATTAATAAGGCTGCTGTCAGTGGTTTGGATCTTGCTAAATGTTAACCATTTGGGTCAATATCTGCCGTGGTTTGAAATGGTTCTCTCCCAAAAAGTTAGTCCTGGTATTTCAGCTGTTCCTGAAAATAAAGCTTGGGAAAATGACTTTCCTTCAATATGCTCAAAGCACAGAAATGTATCAGGACACCCCACGAAGAAATCTTGTGGTGCTTCTGTCAGGATCCACCAACATTTGACCCCAAGGGAAATCTTAAAAAATAAGTAAGCTATAATTTATAAATATTTAAGGGGACAATCTGAAGCCTCTGTCCTTTTTAAAAACAAAATTTTTCAATCTTCATGCGACTTTCATCGTTAACTATTTCTCCAGAAAGAGAAACATTTGTATTTAGTATTTCAAACCCACCACTGATCAGTTGGTTCCAGTATTTTAGAAAGACTGAGGTGGGGTTTTTTTGAGTTTTCATGGAAAAGGAAAAAACCAAAAACAGTGGGAGCAAACCAGAAAAAGAACCACTAAAAACCCAGTATAACACCTGCAGAGTCAAGTACTCAAAAGTTAGGAAAAAGCAAACTAGGGGTTTTGGGCAACTCAAATGCAGCTTCCTGGGCAGTTTCCCATGGTGTACCCAGCTTCAAGGTTAGGATACATTTTTCCTGCACAGCTCCATCCTAACTCCATGCAATCAGGTATGGCAATGCTCAACTAATGAGCAGCTGTTTCATAAACTCATCGTGGCTTCAAACCTTATTTACTGCACGTTATTAAACCCTGCTCTATCAGTTTCTTCACGTGTTTTGTGATCGTGCTCATTACGAAAGAACTCCCTGCTGCATGGTCCTGATTTATCTTGGTGAAACCTCGCGAGATGAGGAAACACCAATAGCAGAAATCTACTTCAGCATTCAACCATCTCTGCCATGCAAATATTCCTTTTCCTCCACCAATTTCTCCTTCCTATATTCCCTATACACCTTGCCTATCAGCAACACCAGTGGCAGGGGTCATCTACATGACAGCCGCATTCCCCAGGCAACCCTGGTGACCCTCCAGAGGAGGGTTTAACAGTGCTGCCCACGGAAACAGATGGGACTCCATGGAGACAATCATTTAAGATGCATCAAAATGCATCTGAAAATGCATCAAAATGTTTCTGCACCAGAGCTCAAATCAGGGTGACTTACATCTGATGCATCCACTGGAGACAATTAATTGGGAGTGGGCTTATAGGCACTGCTCACTAAACAGGACCTTCACATTAATTATTAACCTTAAGATAAACCAGACTTCAAATCTAAAAGTACCTTGTAGCTTAAAGCATGGATACGAGCTTTGAAGTGGACTTACCTTATCATTTCTTTCACATAGAAACTTTAACCTTTGAGCTCGTTTGTGCATAAATACTCCATCCAAATGTCCCGTCTCCACTGAACGGATTTCAATAGCTTTCTCTCCCCAGCCCATTATTTGATTGGAATGAATGTAGGCTGTCAAAAGGAAGCGTTTGGTAGGTGTTACAACGTGTGTTGAAGTAAGTATTACGCAATGGGCAGAAGGACTCGCACCAGCTGTTAGTCAAAGCCTATGGAGATCAATGGCAGAGCTCTGACTGCCACAGGCACAGGTGGCCAGGCACGTGCCCACAGGGATAGCAGCCTTTACAGAGCACTTTTCATCCAGAAATTGCTGAGTAATTCAGACAGAAGAAGCAGCACTGCTTCCGACTTCTGCGGGTGAGGAGCTGGGCAGCGGCTTCCCTCTATGGGTCCCGGAGCTGAGCAACAGCAAAGCCAGAAGGGCAGACCAAGCACTGCCAGCTCCACACCCAGCTCCTCTTCCACTCAGCACAGTATCCCACCAGTGCAACAGCTTATCCTCTAGATAAACCAGAACTCAAATCTTCAAGAAGTCACTTGCTCTTATTGCACAGGACCAAAATGTGGAAATTTAGCAACTGCATCTCTTCTCTGGCTGAGAGAAATCTCCTTTGATAAACAAAAGCCCAAGTGACTCTATCTCAGCATTCTCGAGTCCTCATCTTACTTGTCACTTGTATTTTAAGCAGGTGAAGAGGAAGGGTTGACCTACCCACAGAAGTAGGCATTTCTCCCCACTGGAGCACCACATCTTTAGTTATCCGTCCATAGGTGTTCACGTAGACGCCTTCATCCTCATAGCATACAAGCATCTCCATCCCGTCTGTTTTGGGCAGGATGACAATGGCGTGAGGAGTAATATTGCCCTGAATCTGCAGTTAAAATAAACCCTAAAAGTCAGAATTATATTGAATGGAGGAAGGGAGCAGAGCCTTAGAAAAACAAAACCCAAACCAAAACAAGAATAAAACCCTCTCTCCATTCACCAAACAGGCACTGGCTTCCAGAGATAAGCTTGAAGGGGAAGAAGCTGTCATGTTTACCCTACCATCAAAGCTGCCTGATACGTCAAGGATAAACAGGTTCGGCAATTATGGAGAGATCACAACATATACGTCCCCAGGACTGATGGCTGACACTTGGCTGTACACAAAGAAGCGACTGCTGACTTGATAAATCTATCTCCTATTCAAATTAAGGCAAATAAACCCAGAATTTTACAGGTAGCTCTAGGGAGGAAACATTCCCATTTTTTAGTAATCAGTCTCTAGTTCCAAAGGCAGCTACAGTGACTTTCCATTCATATCTGCTCTTCCATAGCTGTGACAACACAAAACCATCCCAAATGACCCCAGTATTTCTCCCTATGCTTTTTGCCAGCTCTCACAGAGGCTGCTGGGATCAGGGTCAGCAGTTCCTGGATTTGATTAGTAGCCAGTTTCTCCTAGACCAGTTCCTCATCCTGCTTGGGCCAATAGCATGGATGAAGCTGAAATGAGCCAACAAGAAAATCCTCACCTGCAGTACATTTTGTAGCATGGGTTCTCTCTTGAAATAGTGGATGGAGAGAGGTCCTGTGGTGAATCCCTGCTGCCAGGGGGGGTGGGAGTTTTGAGCTTAGTGATTTGGGCTACCCTAATCCCGCAACCCTTGCCTGGGCAAACTGCGCTGCCTCAGCTGGTGAGCACATCCGGGGCACTATGCAATGGGACAGCATGCTGTCATCCAGCTCTTGGTGGGTCTGTGTTGTCCAACAACCAAGAACCTGGTTTCACAGTATCTTGCCCTACAGAGAGCTCCACCAGTGCTCCACTGTAACAGACTGTCCTTTCTGTGGGACACGGCAACCTTAAAGCTGACTGCTCAGGCCCGAGGACAGAAAAAGCCTGTGCGAATAACAAACATGAAGTCTGTGATACCTCCGAGCCCTCTTTAGGTGAGCATCAATGAAGAGGGCACTGGAGAATGTCATACTCATGGCAAGATGTCACCTGACTGGTCACCATTTCTGAGCCACCAAGGGCCTGTCCAAACCCTGCTGGTGACCTGTGTTAGCCACACAGCAGCACTCCTCCGTGTACTCACGTGAGATGGTATGTAGATATCATAAGAGTTCCCAGAATCTACATCAATCACGTGGAAACCAGTGTGTGATCCAAAGATAACCTTGAGTCTCTGACCCTCCTCTACAGTGAGATCCACGAGCAACGGCTTGTGCTGGAGATCTGCAAAAGACTTTTATAATCCCTTCAGTGAGTATCACAGAAAAGCAACAAATCCCCACAGCAGCAGCCTGATACGGTTCTGAAATCATATTTGTTTGACTGTGTTTCCTACTAAATACGTGGTAATTTATATTCCTGTCTCTCTGTTCCTCTGTCAGGTGCCTCAGAGGGTATTACCCACTCGCTCCAGCCATCCCAGCAGGTAAGTGTGCACCCTTGCCAAGCACAACTCTTTTCCCTAAGAGCTCAAGGCCAGCGCGAGGATTTGGTCTCTAAAGGAAGGCGACAGCTCAGTTTTACATGAGTGTGCAAACAGCCAGCATGAGGGGAACACCCGGTGCTGATGCTACTCCAGGTAACGAGATGAAACCCTGCAGAGAGCTGTGCCCACCTACCTCCCCTGCCGGCAGGGATCCCCACTTGGCAGCTGAAATGAGCCGGACTAGCAAAGACCTGCTTATCCCTGTTCAATCTAACCTGCTGGATGCAGGCTGGGACCAGTTCCCTGGCATGGACCAACCCAGGACAGAGCATCCCTCCATGGCTCAGGTCCTCAGCAGGAGGGTGAAACACCACGAGAAAGAGAAAAGGGCCCCTGGCTCCCTGTGCCAGGACCATTTTGACTCCTGACAGGGGAAACCAGTGGGTGGTATTTTCCACTCTCCTAACAGACCCCCGTCTACAGGCAAGGGAAGGATGCTCAGCCCCCTAGACTGGAGATGCAGCATGAGGAGCACCAACCAGCATCCTCACCAGAGCCCATGGAGGCTGGATCCCAGCCTGTTTCAATGCTGCTGAGCTCTCTATGTCACTAAGCCCGTTTATTCTGGCTTTTGTTCAGAAAAAGCAAATGTGACCTAATACTGAATAAACCCATTTGTGCTGGAAGGATGCAAAATGAGATTACTCAGCATGAACATCTCCAGAAGGTATTGCCCCTCGTGGCTGGTCTCTGCACAGAGCTCAGGATGAAAAGTGCTTTAAAGGACTAAGTACAAAATACCCGTTGGCATGTTATAGAGGAGAAAGGTCTCACTGAAGGGAACTGAGGTAGATGAAAAGGAGAGAAAAAGAGAGAAGAGTGGGGCCATTCTCCTGAACTTTCTGTCTTGAAACAGAATCTACATTGCAGAAGGGAAGGATGACCTTGTAAAATAAAAATGGAAAATAATACCAACCTGTTTTCATACTGTTTGTGAAAAATTAGTCAGAAAAAAAAACCCAACAAAAAAAACCCTCACCAAAAACCCCAGCTCAATTTTACTCATAGACATTTGGTCAGCTTTCTGCAACTTTCCCTAGTGAAGCCTGCCAGCATAAACTAATATTAACATTCAACTGATAGCTGTAAGCAGGATGCATCCCATCTCTTCAGCCAGAACATATCCCGTCTCCCATGGCTGCAGGCATCCCGAAGAGCTCAGCTACATCACAACACTGTTCTGCTCTGCACAGTACAGAAATCTCGTGTATTTACAATTACAGAGTATATTTTGGTTAAAAGAGAAACGTACCTTAAATGCCATAAACTTGTGGTATGGTTTAGGAGCCCAAGCATAGATCTCTACAGCATTCTTTAAGGCAATCACCAAGAACTTGATTCTCTCATATTTCACTAAAATGAAAATAAATCTGATTTAAAAAACATTCATTTCCTTTCTAACAAGACTGAGTAACTCATCTCCAGGAACAGATTTTCAGACTGTCTCTCTGTTGGTTCTCATTTCATAACGTGTCCACCTAATACATACAGATGAATACCAGATTTCATTGAGGTCATGGTCTACCCATACTTTTAAAATAACTTGTCAGGTCAGATCTAAGATTAGAGAATAAAAATGCGTCCCTCCAGACCTTTTTTTCTGAGGATGCCACTCACCAACTTTGTAGTGGATACATCCCTCCAGGTCCCCGACCGTGATCCAGCCCTGCTTCTTCTCCACTTCAGGGTCATTGTGTAAAATTCTGTTTCTCAGCCAGGAGAGATAGTACACACGCAGCTTGTTCTTCTTTCCTGTTGGCAAAGGAAATGTCCCTGTCAGAGCAGCGCATGTGTGCACAGGAAATACAGAGATTTCAGTGTTTGTTTTCACTCACAAGGTGATAAAGTTTGTTTCATGATAAGATGAAGACAGTAATTTAGTTGCTGTGTTGGATTTTTTTTTCCTTGGGAGAAAAAAGGAGTGGAAAGCAGAGCCCAGAGCTCTGTCTCCCAGACTGCAGGCGGATACTGGAAGAGCTGGGCTCTCACTGACCGCAGTCTGGGAATGTTCCTCTTCCTATAAATTGGTGTTCACAGAGAAATGGTTGAGCACAGCAGAGCCATGACCCCAGCTCTCTCACCACTCAACTACCTGGGGTTCCTGTCCCTCTCTCCTCCTTCGTACAACATTAATCACACCCTGGAGCTGCGATATGAGCTCCTCGGTCTGTAACAGGCACTGCTATTTGCCAGGAAGCCCGGTGCTGCAATGCTCAAGGGCTGCCAAATTTCTGCACGCCTCTTGGACGGCTCCTCCTACAGCTCTGTCCCCAAAACCAGAGGGAAGCTGCAGACCAAGGTCAATGATGGAGTGGCAGTTTTGAAGAGCCCTATCTGAATGGAGGGAGCAGGAATTTGCAGGCAGATGCAGAGTGAGCCCAGGGGGTGTTGAACAATGAGAAAGTAAACAGGAGGATGACATCAAGCAATTTGCCTAATGAGCACTTCTCTAGCTGTCCTCCGTGAGCTCTGCAGGGCAGGTATCAGCAGGAGAAGGCTCTGCCCCGGCTCTGCCAACCCTGTGCTTCATGGGCCTGCTCTGGAAGGAGGGTGCTGGGTGCTGTCCTGGCAGACTGGGCTACAGAGTTGGTGATGGGA